AATTTTATCAATTAAAAATATCAAATACTTTTGATAATTAAGTAATGAAGTACATGTAGAGAAACTTGGAGCCTTTGTAATAGAAAAAGCAATATGTGATAATAATTGTTATAGACTGATTATACATAGCATTTTATGCCAGTATATAATATGGATTTTGTAAATACAAATTTGAAAAAACAAAAAAATTGAATTATCATTTGATCCTTCAGTTTTCAAGCCTTGTGCTTGCATTTCAAACTTTTTGGATGGCACCCACTCCCACATAAAACATTCGCCTTTCTGCAAGAACATCTGGTTGTAAGACAGTCACCTCTGCAATTACATATTTTATTGCCAGCAATAGCATTGGATTGTAATCTTGCGGCTTCGATTACACTAACAGTCGTATTGGTTGGAGGATCATCAAGCTCTGAAAATTCTCTTGGTCCGAGGGGTAAAACTTCACCGGCTGGAAATGTACTTTCAAGAACATCAAATCGGCATACAAGGCGATATACATCATTGGGAAGTACAGAAAACACTTTACATGGTAGTGCACAATGATCACCAGGTCCACGATCGATCTTAGCGATTTGTACTTTAACAAGATCACTAACTTTATAACTACGCTCATGAATGTTGTATTTGGTACGCATTTGATGCTCCATTTTGGAACGATAATCTTCAAGATTTCTATTCGCAGCTTGTCGATAGATATTGTGCTGGTGAATTGGATTATTTGATGAATCTTGAAAAATTTGAAGACGACGTTTTTTGTTTGACGTAAAATTATACGAATTAAGTCTATCATTTTCCTATTAATAAATCAAAATGCTAAAATTAATAAAATGGACTTCACAATAATTACTGTAAAAAAATAATATAATTATAACGACCTTGTCTCTCAGAATTGGTTCTTGATTATCTGTGATGTTACTATTACTGTCAAATCGTGTTTGTTGATCATCAAAGATAGATTGTTGCATTATTTTGTGACTACCCTCTTTGTCTACATTTCTTACTTCACTTTCAGGATCAGACAACTCATTTTTTAAATTAAAATATGTTGTTAAAATTTAAAATTGTTGAAAAAAAAAATTTTTAACTTATACTTTACCTCTATTAATATCATTATCCGTGTTCAAATGTATAGGACCACAACTACCTCGCTGAAGAACTAAATTTTGCCTATTATTATTCATAAAATTAATATCACTATCACACAAAATACCTTCATTATCTATATCCATTATCTCTGGAAATACAGAGTTATTACTAAATTGTTGAGTCGAAATTTGCTCATTATTATCAAAATGATCAGTATGATACATATCGTCACTGCTATTAACATCTTCAATATCACTCTCATTTTCAACAATGTTTTCTGATAAGTCTTCCTTCATGTTGATATTGTGTTGCTTCCATTCTTCGACCATATTGAAATGTTGTAATGGATGTTAACCAAAAACTAATTCGTATGGAGTATACTTAGTAGGCCTGGAATGATGAATATTCATAGCATATGTAACTATGGGAAGACCGATGCTCCAATCTCTTTGCTGGTTATCCTCCATCCATGTAGAAAGTGCGTTTTTTAAAGTCTTGTTAGCATTTTCGACTAGTCCTTGCGATTGGGGGTAGCGAGGATGCCCATTAATTATGTGAACTCTTTTCCATAAACTAACAAGTTCATAAATAACCTGAGCTGTAAATTCACGCCCATTATCGCTTTGCAAAATACAAGAAGGTCCAAAAACAGTAAAGACTGAAAATAAGAATGCAGAAACTTCTGAAGCCTCCTTAGTGCGTAATGGACATGTCCAGGAAAACCGGAAAAAGTGATCCCGAAGATGTGCAATATAACGGTACTCTTTATCCAGATATTTTTCAAAGGAAACCAGATCAATTTGAACTCGTTGTAAAAATTTCTTTGAAATGATGGTTTTCCCAATTATGGGTGCAGAAAAGTTTCTATGTGTGCAATATTGTGTACACCATGCAACATACAACTCCACGAATAATTTAGAAACATACGCATATTGTCTGCTTACTGCCTCATAAGTTTTTTTTGAATCAGAATGCTGCTGTGAACTACCATGCATCTTACCAAGAACATTGTAAAGATTCTGAAATAGGCAAATGACGCGGTCTGTTCTTTCTTTTGCATTTTTTATTTTTATGAGCTGAATAATAGGGTTGTGAGGTGTTCCAAGATCACGTAGATAAAAATTATTTTTTGCCCAAAAACAATCCTTTGCAGTTCCATTAGACACGTCTTTGGGATTTTTTAGAATACTTATAATTAAATCATAGTCTTTCTGGGTAATTATTGCTTTCCTTTGTTGCTTGGGTTTACGACTTGACAAAAATTTAGACACCAGTTGATCAAAGGCGGCACGTGAAATAAAAGGTAAATCACTGTTTGTATCTATAATATTGATTATTTGTTGAGGTTTTTAATAAAACTAAGCTATTAAAGTTTCAATTTCTTAGGATCTCATAACAGCGGGTAAAGTTTTTTTTTTTTAATTACTAAGCACAATTTATTAAAAGTTTTTTTTTTTAAATTCACTTTTTTTTTTTTAATTACTAAGCGCAATTTATTAAATAAACGATTGTATTATTTTATGCATCGGGAATTAAATTTTAACAAACAAATTATTTATTTTACTTCCCGATCTGAAATACAATAAGCGAACACATGCTTGATCTAACAAGAGAAACCATCCAAATATAAATATGATTTTCATTCTCTGTTACACAAATTACTCATTGTATCGACTAGTCAAACCATAGGATTCAAGGGATTCAAAAAATTGTTGTAAAGCAAAGTGAGAGCTTCATGTTTATTTAACTATTTTCAATATTCATAGAAAAGATAAGTCAAGCGAGCCTTCCAAAAAAGTATTGTAAAATAATATAAAAAAAAATTTTATCAATTGTGTAATGATTTTGTGACGTATCAACGGTTCCTTCTGTTGCTTGATCTATTTTACGGAATAGTAAACTATAATAAATCAACAGATATTGATCATCATTATACAGATTCTTAATCCGGGTAACCCGCTTAAGAATTCCAAAACTGACTACCCCGATTCTGAATTGGGTCGGCCGGATTCTGAATTGGGACAATTCCTATCCAGGGTACAACATATACATTAATAATTAAAATTATTTTCTATAATTAAACTGCGACCTTTGAACTTAACAATTATTACTAGGGCCCTATAATAATAGAAAATTACCGTACAAGTATGTATATAAGACCTGGACCTGTTTTTATTTCACCAATTTTTAGACCCTTTAGTAGAACCTGGGTTTAGTATATACTAAGAGGTTATATCGAAAAAGAAACCGTATTTAATTAATAAAAATTCCATAGTTCGAATCCGGGTCTAATTCATGATGGGTCTATTATTTTGGAGGATCTTGTATACATACATTTACGGTAGTTCAAATAATCTATTTCAGGTTTTTTTTTTTGACAAATTAATATTTATATGCTTTCTTTCTCCGAGCTACACTTAAAAATTTAATTAGGTATGTTATTTCTTTTTATCTTCCAGTTGCTACAAACTGACCTTCTCAAATGCGACTCATTGAGACGCTGTTAATCAATCCATCCTAGTTCCTTAAAAAATCAGATAATTGACAGTCTGGAATCACATAGGCTCTAATAGTGTCTAAACTTTTGATAATATGCATTTAAAGAACAATAAAAAATTTATTCATAGAATTAAAATTATATTTGAGCTAGAATTTGGAATTGCATTGAGAGTTGTATTTTTTAGTAATTGATCTTTTTTTGCTTTTAATAATAATGCTTCACAATTAGTGATGGTGATTACTTATTGATAAGATTAGTTTTAATCGTAATTGATATGAGAATTGGCAGAATTATATAAATATTATTAGGTTAGAGATGAAAAAATAGCAATTGGACACAAATCTCTAAGAACGCAATTCTGCTACACAGCGTAGTCTTAATTCTGCTATGAAAATAACTAAGATACAAATCTGTTGAAGAGGATGATTCTTTGTGATGAAATATTACACTTGACCCTCGTTGATATCAACCTAAACAATAAAATAAATTTTATATGTTAAAAGTTATGTCAAAATTCTCTCATTAATACTGTACAATGCTGCATACAGTACCCTGGGTATTTTACAAAAAAGGCGGTCTAGATTGAATAATACCCCCAAATATCGAGAGATGGAAGGATAATACAAATAATCGTTACTAATTACTATATACTACATATCAAACCAAATGAAAAGATCGCACTATTAATATGAAAACTAGATCACAAATCGCTTGTAAAAAAAAGGTGATACTATTTCAGAAGTACTATATGCAGTGCTATATGGTATTACTATCAACATGAAGATAAAAGTGATCTAAATGATATTAGCAAGGGTCAAGTGTATTAGGCTTTCACTATCAGATTATATTATTTTCTGCCTCATACCTAATTAATTGCCCACTTATAAATAATAATACAGTAATAACCATTTTTTAAAATAATATTCTTTTATTTATCTTAGATTTTGAAATTCAAATAAAATTTTATTATAATTTTTAACTCAATAATTTTGTAAATTCCTAAAATTGTTTAGATAACTATTATTATTTATTTCTAATAAGCTTAGAATAAATTCAATTAATAAATATACAGTATCTTATTCTAACTTTGCTAAAAATTCAGAAAAGAGAATAGGTGAAATATCCCAAGATTGTAGCCTCTATTGTAAATAATCTGCTTCGTAGTGTAACGAATTAAAATTTTATTTTTTATATTATTGTAAATAAATTCTTTATTATCACCAGTAAATTACCTAAATGTACATAGTTTATTAGTAATCCCTATCCATTCTGATAACAATGCCCAATTTTAGCAAATTTATTAATTTCTTTTAAACATTGCATAGCTTATACTAAAATAGTAATAGTGGCTTAGTACATATGAAATTGCATATACACCCAAATTATCATGAATACGCAATTACACCAATTGATTGATCTCTGCACCTTGAGCGTATACATCCAGATCTAGGTGTATACACCCAAGAAATCGCAAATACATTTAGATTAGAGCGAATTCGCTTAGATTAAAGCGAAAACTCCCTATAAGTTAAAAATGTATATAAGCACTCTGAATTAAATAAAGAAAGAAAGAGTTCGATGTCCACTTTTAATTACTACTAAATAATAAAAAGTCTATACTTATCTGAATTTCCCTCGTGAAGTATTCTCCTAATTCGACTTGTAACTTTACTAAAACTTTTGAAACTCAATTTGATAGACTGAATTGACTTATAACTTTGACTGGATTATTAAGACTCAGATTCTGGAATGATTGTAGAATCAGATATTGCTATTCACCTTGGTAACTTGCGAGAATTGTGGTAAAGACCGATATTTATGATTGGTTATTCGACCTGGTTAACCCATCATATGGACAAGAAGTTATCACCGACATCACTTGATCATCGTCCGCTTTTTACTTCACCATCCTTATTAAGATATCCCTAACAGCATCGCCTGTAGTTGCTTCACCCTATTAATATTAAAGCCTTCATTCTATAGTGCCATATTGTCCTAATAGACCTCTGATAGTTATAAAAGACTCTCTTCATTTCTCAAGTTGTCTTTATCTTCCCGTACACTGTTAGATTTAAATTGGCCTTTTTCTTCTATTATTCATATAAGCTCTCCCATCAATGGTTATAGTAGATTGTCAATAATTGTACATGAGCAAAAAATATTGCACCCTATTGACATGCTTAGGTCCAAGCTCTAAAAAAAATAATACAGGTTACCCTCATTAATATCAACCTATTTGAATTGGTTTTAAATTATGTTGATAGTGATATTAAAGAAAAATCATATTAAAGTTGATATATATGAGGGAATTTTGATATACTTTATAAAAATTTGGTTTGTGGCTTAGGTTAATATTAACAAGGTTGATATTGACGGGAGTAACATGTAATAAATAAAATAAAAATTTAGCATTAGTATACTTAACTAACAGTTATCTTCTGAGTAATTTCAATATATCATAAGTAATAATGTAATTAACGATATAGGAGTATATTGAAGGTGAATTTTTTTAAAAAAATAAAAAAAAAACTTATTTTTAAAAAGGATACATAGGAATATCATAAGTCAAATATTCATCTGGGATGAGCTAAGTGTTGTACCAAAATGATATAGCATTGATCAATGTAACAGAAATATTATTGATAAATCCCCTAAAAACAACAATAAAAAGAAAGACAGAAAAAAAACAAAAGTTATCACCGGAATTACGTCGGTGCAAGTAAATTTTTAGCATCTTACCTAGATCAATGTCTATGTTGTAAGTGGAAACAGAATTTCTTAGGATTTTTAGAATTAAAAAAAAATGAAAATTGATTCATAAGATAAAACGAATGGTCAAGAATCATATTCTTAGTCAAAATCAAAAGAGAATCGATCTGATAATCATTGTTGTTTTTCTATAAAAAGTAGCAATGATGATTTAGAATATAAACACTACTATGAAATTGGATTAAAAACTTTTGATTTACTAACCTAACATCTAAGATTTCTCGCTTTTATATGAATCATTTTTTTTACTTATTTTATATTTTGTCAAATTCTTATAGCATCACCTATATATCCATTCACCCAGATGACCACTATTCTCCTTTAAGAACTTATACTAATAAAGTAGGTCTTAAACGTTTTTTTAACATCAATAATTGGTGGTAGAACTAACTGAAAAGTTATATGTAACTATGGATTCTATAGCTTTGAATCCCTACAAAAAAAACATAATAACAGTTACATTACTTATGCACTCGAATATTGTCTTTTTATCAAAAAAAAAAAGCAATATTATGCAATCAATATTATAAATACCAAAGCTTCTTTTCATTAAATCATCACTTTCCTGTAATATTCGCAAAATTGGTAACAGAGTCCAACAAAGTCCACCAAAGTTCACTTCTAGTATTGCTAAATAGAGTATCGATGTTTAATAGTTTAATAATTTAACTCATTATTAATAGAAACTTTAAATGGTTATAACTTTTTTACTAAATCCAAAAACCCTGTATGTGAAATTAATTGGTTTTCATAACCCGGCCGGGTCAAATTTTGAAAACTTGTAAAAAAAATTTTTATGTTTTAATAATCAGGTGGGTTTTTAAAATTTAAAAAATTTGTATGATCAAACTACAATCTTGTCAGAAGAAGATATATATTTAAAGTGATTTGCTGAAAAAATGTCAATTTTTATTATAACAATTTAAATTTTTATATTGTGTAACTCAGCATGTTTATTATAGAAATATTTAAGAGTAAAATAAAACAATAAAAGGATAACTAAGAACATATTTCATTTATTATTTTCATTTAAGTCACACAATTTATGAATTTAATGATCAATTTCTTTTAGCTTATTTAGAAGAAAAAAAAAATTAAGCAAGCAATCGCTTACAAACCTAAAAATGTAATAAGTATGCTAACATATATATTTATGATATGTAAGCTTGTTTAAAATCGACTAAATTATTTGTTAATACATACCTAATTCTTTTTCCTTTTCAATATTAGCTAATTCTTGAGCACGAAGTTCAGCTAATTTCGTTTGTTTATCAATATCTAAAATTTCTTTTTTATGTTGAAATTCATAATCTATTAACTCAAGGCTTCTTAATTTTTTTCGTTTGGCAATTTTAATATCAAGTTCATCTAATTCTTTGTTGCTTGTTCTGATAGTTTTAGAAGTTGGTGATAGTTTTTTATTTGATAATGCTAACTCAGGTTTTTTATGCTTTTGACCTTTTGAGCTATGAAGTTGTTTGCTCTCTTATTATTATTGAAAATATGTATATACAGTATACGTATCAATTAGCCAATATGGCATAACGATAATGACAATAAATTATTTTATCTGGCAAACTCATGATCATAGATTTATTTCTTTTTCTTATTTTTTGGGATATTATATCGTAATCATGTTTATTCAAATTAAAGCTTAGTTAGCAAATCACGACTTGAGAATCATGATCATGAATTGCTGAATAACACAAATATCGAGTCATGTGTTGATAAATATTGTAAAATTTATCTAATTGTATAAATGATTGGCTGATATGTGCACTGTGCAGCACTGTCAGCCAATTATTTGCTCAATTAGACAAATTTTGTGATATTTATCAATATTATATACATAATTAACTATCTTACCTAATCATTTAATAGATTGAGTTGCTTTAGTTACCAGACCTGATGAACGATCAGTTTTTGGGACATTATATTTGTCTTGACATTCACATGTTGCCAATCGACATTCATCTAATCATTTTTTTCTACATATGTAGCATATATATTAAATTATATAAATTTTTTAAATAATTATAGTAAAAAAAGCAAAAAAAAATTAATAAAAATTATTAGAAACAAACCTTTTAACTGCAAACAATAAACTCATTTAAATTCCTTCTCTATTAGCATCTGCGTAAGCAGATTCAGCAATATTAGTAGTTTCTCCTACAATACACCAATCTTTTCTGGAAATATGCGAATAATGATGATTTAAAGATGCTAATCGCCATAGTGTTGAATAATAGTTTCTCCAATCTATAATTTTTTATATATAAATTTACAATTATTATAAATTATATTAGTATTAAGCACCATATATATAATTTTTTATTATAATTTTGTTGTCAATACTTAAAGTTAGTTAAAAATTATATAAAATAAAATTAGATAGTATAAACTAAAGCTAAAAATAGAAGTAAGGTTTTTTGGGATGTTGAATATTTTTACTTAATATATCTGGCCTTAGTTATTTAAGGTTCTACCACAAAGTCTTGACATTCAAAATCTCGAAACTATAATCCAGACAAGACAATTAGTATTTAAAGATTAGTAATCATATTAACAATTATTGTTAAACTTTAAATTTTAATTATCACATCGTGCAATGTCCATATTATGACCTGTCGAGATTTTGGATATTGGGATTTTGTGATAGAACCGTTATTTAGACAGTTTTGTAATATAGCAACTGTGAAGTTAAACATCACTGATATAAATTAACAATATTGTAAATTCAATTAATAATAACAAATTATATTTGATGCTCCAGCTTCATCTGATATAGAAAATTCATGAAGTATAGCATCAACACGTTCTTTATTAGCTATTAATACCTCATATATTAAACTTTTTAAATGATTTGATAGTTTTGAATTGGCAATATTTCTATATAAAATAAATAAAAATAATTAAAATAATAAGTTAAAATATATAAAATTAATTTGTTAGTTTTAATTTGTAATCAAAGTTGAATACATTAGTAAAAAATCAAAAAATTTGAAATGTTAAGTAGCACTATTCAGCATATTACTTTTTTAATTTTATTAGCAACAGCCGGTGGGATATTATATTATAATATTATATTAGCCTTATTTATATTTTGTAATTCAGCAATTAGAATCTAGTAATTTTTATACTATTTAATATCATGGCTGAAGCTTGAAATAGCTGAAGCTTAAAATTAAGAACTTCGATTTAAAAATATAAATCCTATCAAAATTTACTTATATATTTTTATTATCAAAACTTACTCTAAATCCTAAGCTAACTATCAAAAAAAAGCTAAAAAAAATACACTTACAAAATTTTTAAAAATTTCATATTAAAGTATTTAAAATTTCAAGCTTCAGCCGTTTTAAGCTTCAGCCACAACACTTAATATACTTTAAAAATTATTTCTAAGATAAATACTTTCCTTTTATAATATACATGGTATGACTTAAAAAGATAAGTCAAGTAAGTTTTTCAAATTTTTGTTAAATACAAATCTTCAAGCACTAACCCAAGACCTTTAGCCTGTGCAATATCCAAATCACCAAGAATAACACTCCAACTATTGTTATAAATATGTTTAATCTGAACTTTTTGTTTACAAAGTTTATTTACAGTTTCAATTATAGCTTTAAACATACAATGATAAGCATTTGCAGTTGCAATATTTGTATAAATTCATGCATATATAAATGCTAAAAAAATTAAAATTAATAAAGATTATAATAGTAATGTATAAATTATTAAATATATATAAATTACTTAACTAATATTATAATTAATATCAAATTCATTAAGTTCAAACTCATTATCTTTCTGTAAACACATTTAAATATTAAATCAACTTGAAAATATTGTACATGTAAGAGGTTTATTGCTATGTCTTTATTCATATATAGTACAAAAATATGTCTATTTTCAAAAAATGCTATAATATATTTAATATGTATATAGAATATTAGTATATAGTCAACTTTTTTAGGATAATGAACTGTTTGAAGTAGGGAGAGTTGACTTTATATGTTATAGAGTATATAGTAATATAGTATATAGATGAAAATCTCCAATTTCGTGATAATTTAGTGTGAGTGATTAGGTTAAATAAAATTCAAACTAATCATTTATGTGATATTGAGAATAAAAGTTATTTTTTAATTAGAGGTTATAAGCCCAATAATGAATTGCTTATAAATCGCTTATGAATTTTACTCATAAATTTGTATCTGATTATAACCTGATGCTTATAAATTTTTGCAATTATGTATCTAATTATGACCTAATTATATATCAGATTAAAATTTTTTTGTATGTATATACTTGATTGTAACCTAATTACTTACCAATATTTTATATGTATTTACCTGATTGTAACCTAATTACTTATAAATTGTTGTTATATGTTCTGTATATGATTATAATATCATCTAATTTTTAATAACTACTGTGTTTCAACTGGAGATTTTTACCCATATGGTATACTTAGATATATACGTATCAACTTTTTGGACATATTCTCAAATATTATCTAAATTAGAAGAAAAGGCATGAACTAAACCTAATATGCCTTGCCCATATGGATGAATTGAATTATGGACCCGAGCAACAAGATATCGAAGATGATCTAAATTATTTAAAGAAGTATAAATTTCCGACAATAGATCATTTCTAAAATAACTTTTAAGTAAGTTTTCTTAAAAAATAATTATATTATATATATATATATAAATTTTAGTATATATGAAATAATAATATGCATAAAATATAATATTTATTTACAGAATATTTTTGTTGCTATATTTTAAGATTAGAGTTTGTACTTATCAGACATTATTAAATTATCTGATTTATCTAAATAAGGCTATACAAATTTAGTATATTGATTTTTATAAAACTTGATATAGTCAGCTTTTTTCATTTTATAAAATAGTAAAATTTTTTTTTAAACTCATCTGGTTATTAAAACTATAAAAGATTTTTTTAAAGTTTTCAAAATTTGACTTGGCCGATTTATAAAAATCAATTAATTAATTTTGTATAGCCTAAAATTATATATTTTTGTATAACTCTTTTACAATCTTTAATTAAAATAATATCTGATATTAATCTTCATGGTGTAACATGCTCCAAATTATCTGAAGATTCTTCGATTAAAGTTTTAAGATGAGCTTGAATAGCTTCCGATACATGATATGGTGGAGGTGGCGAATGAGTATATTCTTCTATACAAACTAATACCACAAAAGGACATTCTAACAAATTAAGAGGTGTAAATCGATAAAATTTAACTTCACATAACATGTTTTCTAATTGAGCTTCAAATAGTGGTTATTGTCATCAAGATGAGGAAATGCTTGTATAAATTTAAATTTATTATGTTAAAATAACTATATATTAAAAATATTTTTTTTTTATTTAATATACTAATATACTTACGGCAAATTTTTTTTTGTGTTGTATTAGGTAAGATGGTACAACATCGATCTTCAATTAATGATCGATCAATTGATTCACCATCCAGAAGACGTCAAATAAGGTTAATATCACATGACTCAGATATTGGAGTGAACCGATACCAATTATCTCCATTAGACCAAAAACTACAACCAATAAAGTAACCATTTTTACACTATAATATTTGTGATACATGATTATTGTATTAATTTTGATTAGTTCTACATTGTACTAAAGTACTTTGTTTAATTTTTCTTAAAACAGGTAAACCAGCGCATGATGAACCATTGGATAGAGTTTTTGGGCATGATTTTTTCATTATAGCAAGATAAAATCTTAAACAAAAAATTATTAGAATATATATAATCATTTATATTTCAAAATGGGTGAAAATAGAAATAAAATTTTCTTTTGGAATACACTTGCACACTTGAACACTCAATTGCCTTAGCACATTAGAGGGTTTCATAATTAACATATTTTGAAAATAAGTGGAAGGTTAAAAAATCCTACATCTATTTTTAAAATTCTGACTCAGTAAATTAAATCGACGAATATGTTAATAAAATTAGGTTTGTTTTGACAAATATCTACTGGTAAACAATTAAGTAAATAAGTTTATATAAATCACTTATTTTGACACAAATACATCTCTCATTTTATCAGAAATCAGATCCAAACTATTAATTTTGAAACCCTTTATTGATTGAAGATTAGCGCCAATTTTATGTAATTGTTTTCAATTCGGAAACAATTACAATGTTCGAGTATACAAGTGTACTTCAAATGAAAATTTTATTTGCTATTTTCATCCATTTCGAAAATTGCAATAAATTATAAAATTATATATATGCAATTGTATTTGTATAAAATGAATCTATTTGATGATCTATTTTTAATTATTTTAAAAATATCTGAATCATAATCAACATCATTACAGTACTTTGTTGATCTAAGTTGATTATCGATATGAGGACAAACAGTAACCCCTTGGCACTTTCTTTGGTCTTTAATAACATCAATATTACCAAAAAAAGGACATTTAACTTTTGCTTGACTGCCAGTATCTAAACTATACTGGATCTAAACATATATATATAGTATTAATAGATACTATATATACAATTAATAGATATTTTTTTATTTAAATTATAATACTTGCATCACGAAAAACAGCATGTGCTTTTTTTTTTTGATCTTCTTGAATTTAAGCCGTATTTAGTACTTGATTACTACCATTATTATAATCTTCAAGATTAAGCACATTATATATAATAGCAAAACTGAGGGTCCTTTGTCATTTTGCAGGCTAGTTAAAGGATATTCAACTGAAACAGTAGAGTAATATATATTGTCAGCTTTAACAGCTAGATGTGTTGTAAAATAAGCAACGGTTTCTTCAATATTTTCAGTTTCTCCAATATCTTCAATTTCTTCAATATCATCAACGATTTTTATAATATTTTTTTTTTTTTTTTTTTGGTTTTAAGGTGACCTCTTTGCCATGCTGCTCTTTATTCGAATATCAGTAGTATTTTTAACCATCAGACATATCCTGATGGCTGTGCATATTTGTTGGGTACAACTAGCCATACCTGCGCCTTTTGAGCACCTATTTAAGTAGTCTGTCTATCATCAGGTTCTATACTAGATGCCATACCTGCACCCCACTAGGGGGTTACCTATTTAAACCCTCTGCGCCTATGTACTAACCCTTTTATATCCAAGCGATGATACTTAGTACCACCTTATTTTCACATGCTGGCTTAGGGCTTTAAAGCGGTCTC